GGGGGGGTGCTCAAATACCGTTGACCCAAGGGGGGGCGGCGGCTAATCGTTGTAATGATGTATGTAACATGGTCCCGTTTTTGTGGTACTTCTCTCTCGCCATGCATACAACGTGACCCCTATATGTGTGGGTATTTCTTATCATGCCGCACGGTTCTAAAGCTACGGTCGATTGTCGCACCACACAGGTCTCCTGGCACAAGACCATGCCGTGGCGGGAGTGGGGGCAGTCGGATGGACCGTAGCCCTTGAGAACGTACACCAATCGTTGGAACTACGCGACCATTGTACCTGTTTTTTCTCGTGCGTTCTCTCTTATTGCTTGTCCGGTGCCGTTTTCCCACGCTCCACGCCACTCATATCACCCGCAAAGCTGAGGGCTACACTCGCTACGCAAACCGATCGCCAAAACACCCCTCTCTTCATCTGCCAAACGGGTTGGTTGCAGGCTGGCAACGTGGCGTTGGACTTACAGTGCTGGGTACCGCACCCTCCCAGCTTCAGAGGTCATTGTCCAAGGGAGAGCCACGTCGCCGACTGTATGCATAGGATCGGTTCAATCCAAAAGAGCGAGGCGAGATGAAGGCACGAAAATACGACACTTTTGCCTCTCGGGAGCCAATTCAAATACTTGCTGCTGCCATCGCTGTCACGTTCGTCACCCCCATCTCCAACTTTTCGTTGGCTGGACATTCTCCAACAGGTGTGTGTGTGGGAGGGGGCGGCTACGCCGGAGCATTGGAACAAGACCTTCGTGTGGAACAAAGGTCAAGAAAACGAGAAAAAGAAAAAGAGAGAGAGAGAGAGAGAGAGAGAGAGAGAGAGAGAGAGAGGGAGAGTTCGCTCCCCGCGAGGGAGTCAGAAAGACAGCAGGCTAGATCCACAACATTGATCGCAGAAAAACGTGCAAACATACCGAAAAACGGGACGCAGCAGCAGGAAAGACGCACCTCCTTCTTCTTCTTCTTCTTCTTCCTCTTCTTCTCCTTGTCCTTGTCCTTGTCCTTCTCGCTCAGCTTGCTCGTAGGCGGTGCTACGACCACCTCCACTTCATCGCCCCCGCCGCCGCCGTCATCGCTGCTATCTTCGTCGCTATCGACAACCCGCCGCCGTTTCTTCCCCTGCTTACTCCCACCGCTCCCCGACGGTCCCTTACCGGAAATCCCGGCGGCGGCCGCCTTATCCCCGGTGGCTCCCACCCTGCCGTCATCATCGACGACGACGACAGCTTTGGCCCCGCCCTCCCCCGCCGCCGACATCTTCTCCTCGCCTTGCGGCGCCGCCGCTTCACTAGCCGCCTTGGCCTTGGCCTTAGCCCTCGCCCTTGCCTGCACCTTGGCCAGGTCGTCTGCCTCGGCGATTGCCAGGATTCCCGCCGCGTTGGCGTCTAGGGTAGGGGAGTGGACGGCGGCGGCGGCTGCCGCGGACGCTGACTGCTGCTGCGCTGCTTCCTCCTCGTTGAGGTTGTTGCTGTTGTCGCCATTGCTGCTGCTGGCGTCGGTTAGTTCGGGCTCGTCGTCGCTGCCGTCGTCGTCGTCGCTGCCGTCGTCGTCGAACTCGCCCTGTTGCGTGCATGCATGGGTCAGGTTCGGGGTATGTGTAAGAGGATGCGCTCCGAGGTGTACAAGGTCCGGTCTTGTAACGGTGCCTTAAGGTTCGGGTTAAGGCCAACATCGAGGAACCGAGGTATAAGGGCCGTCATGTTCAGGAAAAAGAGGATGCCTTCAGGGGTAAAAGCGTGGAGCCGTCGGCGAGAGCTCCACTTCGGGCTAGAGAGGGATGAAACGGGATCTCTGCCACTTGACTAAGCTCTTGCCTCTTGCTTTCTTTACCCGACGCGTTTTGCAGCTGTGGGGGGCCAGCAGCAGCACCAGCAGCTTGCTGGTTGTATACTACCAATGCTGCACTTTGTTCCTTCACCGGACTTTGTATCTAACTGAGGAAAACTTGAGACATGTAAGACTAGGTGTTTCATGTTGTTTTGGTCGTGGTGGTGCTATTTTCACGGCGAACTCCTGTTCTTTTGCCCTGCATCGCCTCGGAGCGTGCTAGGATCTGTGGGTGACAGCAGAACCTCTCGGAATTGCTTTGCACAACAGACAGTGCCTACCTTCAGCCCCGATTCTGCTTCTTGGCGCATCAACCGTGGCTCTGAAACCAACCAGTAGTATTCGAGTGACTCTCGTTCTCGTCGAAAACACACATAAAACAACAACCGAGTTCATCATTTGTCAAAAACACATCAAAACGAACAACCGGGTTTATGACATGAAATCATGACAAGAGTTTCCGCTTCCGACCTCGGTTAGTTGGGTGCAAATAACCCGGCATACGGAAGATGTTTTTTTACCCCGAACGTGCGTAGCTCCTCCCATGCTCTGTCGACCACACGTCGTTTCAAGTGCTTCAATGGACCCTGCGGCCACAAAACCAAGTGACCCTCGTCAACTCTGACAAGACAAAAAAAGCAACAGAGGATCGTTCCTAGAAACGTTCTTTATGTGCTGTACACCTCACAGGAGAAGCATCAAACAGAAACCCCCAAACACTCAACTTTGAGAGAATCTTCTACTATCGAAGCAATATGTATCTCGGCGTCACTCCTTCCTACTGCAGCAGTCGTCCCCGCTTGTCAAAGCGTGTTTAACGCGGGGAATCGTCGTTAACAAACGTACCCCCCTTGTTTATATGCGGGGCAACCTGCCTTTGCATTTATTTTGTGTCCTTAAAGCGGGGAGGTGACTTCATTTGTGCGTCTTTACAGCGGGGGACAACTGCATTCATACTGCTGTACCTCGCTTTCTTCATCCTCAGAATCATCCCCGGTCTCGCAGCTCTCCTCACTCTCATCGTCGTCTCCGTGCCGATTCCGCGTTGCCCCTCTTCTCCCCGCGGAGGCGCCCCCCTTGCCCTTGCCAGCTCCGCCTCCCCCCCCCGCCCTTCGTGCAGCCCTCTTCGACCTGCCGCCGCCGTAGTCCTGACCGTGCGACGACCATACCAGGACGAATTTCGGGAAAAGTGTTGGGTGTAGGTGTGAGGAGGGGGCACAAATAGCCGTGTTGTCGTAGTCGATAGACCATTGACCTCGCATCCGGCACGGAGCACCGGTTTCTAACGGGACCAGGTTCTCATATCACCAAGCGCGAAGTGCCGTGAGGTATCAGCGTAGGGGGGGG